ATACAGATACAGATACAGATACAGATACAGATACAGATACAGATACAGATACAAACAGCAAATTTCTTTTAATTTAAAGTCCGTTGGCTTTGCTTTATTTTCCTTTTCTTTTCTTTCATTTACTCTTCACTTCATTCCAATTTCAATTAACTTTGATTTGCATGCGCTTTCATTAGCAGTCGATGGGGAAATTCCCGTCACATCTATCTGTCCCCTTTGGACGGTTTGTTATCCTTTGTCGTTCCTTGCAGGCTACTGGCCACTCGGCTTCACGTGGTGCAACGTGTACGTTACCTGCGATGTGCTCGCCTGCTCCTCGAGCATACTGCACATGTGCTTCATCAGTCTGGGCAGGTATATGGGCATCCGCAATCCACTGGGCTCGCGACATCATTCCACAAAGCGCCTGGCTGGCATTAAAATTGCCATTGTCTGGGCCATGGCCATGCTGGTGTCCAGCTCAATAACGGTGCTGGGTAAGGCCGATTCTCAGACTGTCAGACTCTCAGCGGTCGGCATAATATATTGAGCTTTAATGAGCGCCAATTCCTATGAATTCCAGGTCTGGTCAACGAGAAGAACATCATGCCCCACCCGAATGTGTGTGTGATTAACAATCGAGCCTTCTTTGTGTTCGGCTCGCTGGTGGCGTTCTACATACCAATGCTGATGATGGTCTCGACATACGCACTCACCATTCCACTGCTGCGCAAGAAGGCCCGCTTCGCCGCCGAGCATCCGGAGAGCGAACTCTTCCGTCGGTAAGTGGATTGAAAACTTTGATATTCGCTCTCGCGCTGCAGCACTGCACAGCACACAAGTAAATGCAATTAGTCTGCACGATTGGCTTCAGGGCACAGATTTGTGCCACCTTTGACCGGACACTAATAGGCAATGGCCAGCGGTCAGCAGCTGCAATTGGATTTATCTGTCAATCGATACCAATAAATTATTTGCAAATGAAAATGCTTTCAAACGAGATCCTAGACGCCGAGCAACTGTCACGGCTAGTTACTACATGTGGGACGACCAGCAGCGGGGCCTATGCGGCGTATGAGTAATTGAATCTAAAACTTAATTCACACCGCTGTGCTGTGAAGGGCTTTTGATTTCGCTAACGTCGCCCGGGGCTAGCGGTGAGTGCTGTGTGCTGGGTGCTGGATGGCTGCCACAGAGACAAGGCATTCTCAATAAGTATTCATTTGCACTCGCACAAAAATCAATTAGGCCAAGACGTAAATGCCAGCTGAAGCAGAACAATTAGTGTTTAGTTAATGTGCCGTCACGCTAGCGATTTGAAATGTGATTTACTTTTGTGTCTAGTGGGGCTGAAGATTTTAATTTACAGCTTGGCAAATAACATTGCTGTTGCAGTTGTATTATATCTAGAATCAAACATAAGCCCTCTACAAATGAATATTTATATATTTTTATACTCATTCACGAAGTGAATTAGTATATTGGTTTTGTGCAATG